CATTTGCATTCCAATGGAACCAGCAAACTGGGCTTGGGTGTGGAGCAGACCTTTGCAGTCAGCAGCAAAGTCGGCCCTTTTCCTAMTAACACTTGATAAAATTCCCCAACTCGTTGTTTTGGGAAGCGTGAAGGGAGCGTTGCTCCCATCATTTCCTAAATTTGGACAAATTTACTAGTGCTTTGTGCTGGGATTGAGCTGAAGGCTGTGAGAAACACAGATGTGACCACCCCACCTCTGAAAAATCACCTTGAGCCTGTTTTGGAGTCTGGGCTGGCTCTTGTAGTTCTTGTCTTAAGGTTTTTCTTTCTGTGCCATGTTGAGTGAGGAYACTGAGGAATGCCAGGCTGGAATCCTGCCTGCCCCATCTTCCTCCTCCTGAGGTTCCTCCTGCAGCAGAAATTGCAGTCCTAAGCCCCATGTCTAAGAAGTGATACCTGGAGGAATTCCCCCTCCTTTCCCTGGCTGGGAACGTCGTTCTGCTGCTGGGAATAGAGAGCAAGCTCCAAAAGTAATACTGACAGACTTCAGAATTATGATACACTGGAGCTGCAGCGTAATTCTTTGTTGAAGAAGTTAGAGGCCTAAAATGTTAAGGCTTATTGTTATTCCGAGTTGATAATCTCTGCCTTGCTTTAATAATTTTTCCTCATGCCTGGATAGCCTGCGAGTTGCACAATAATCACTCACACAGCTTTGTAATCAATGCCCAAAGTAATAGGATTCCGCTGGCCAACGGCAATTAATAAATTTGTGTCTTTTTTAAAACACTAGCAAGTCGGGCCTGAAATACGACTGACTGGCTTTCCTCATTTGCATATTTATTGCAGTGGAAAAATTCTTGCCGAATGATTGATGTTGAGCCTGCCTCTTGAATTCCAAACAGCACATTATTATGAAATGAAAAATGCCGGCCATACAGTTGATTAAAGTTGAAGACAGTGGAATCGGTGTTTTTTAAGATTGTGGGAGAATTAAAGGCATATTTTAATAGATGTTGACAAGAAGTGAACTAACAAAAGCAAAGCAAAGGATTTGCTTGAAAAGATTTAATCAAACGTGTTTCGTGGGGGATTAATTGCTGGGGATGACTAGTGCAAGTGGCTGGCTGCTGGATGTGAATGGGGAGCATTGTTCCGAGGCCAGCGGATCGAGGGCTGTCTGACCTGGAGTTTAACTCCTGTCCCACAGCCCTTTGAAGGGAGGGAAGGTTCCCTCTTCATCCGAGTGCTGGGATAAACGTGTGTACCTGCTGGAGATGCTCTTCATGATGTGCAGGGATTAAAATTAGAGGTTGGAYTCCTCTCCTCCTTTGGATTTGCATAAAGTGAGCGGTGCAGGGTGACAAGGAGCCTCTGTGGGGAYATGGATCTCTCTGTGGAGGCAGGAGATGCTCCCAGTTTTGGGCAGCTCAGTTTTGGCTCTGCATCCCTGTGTTCCAATGCCAGCATTTCTCCAGCTTTTCTGTGAGAGCTTCCCAGCCTGTGGAGGTGCAGGGAGAATGAAAAGCATTGCATGCCAGTGATACTCCTGTGATGCCAGATCCTCGGATTTAATTGAGGGGAAAAAGTCCTTAATTTCCAGCATTGGCACAGCTCTGAGGTCGAGCTGTGTGCTGGGTGGGTGGTGGCTCCTGCTGGTTCATCCCAGGAAGGATGTTCTGTGTTTGGATACGGCGTGTGGAAAGCACTGCCACGGCAGCACCCTGCAAGGTGTCACATGGAGTAAAAATCCTGGGAGCTTTGCCCCAAATTTAGGATTCTCTCCCTGACCTGTCACACTCTCAGTCTGCTGGATGCATGTAGCATGGACAGGGAGGAGCAGTTTTGGGAATCTCGAGGGTTGGCTCTGTGAACCCATCATACTCCAAATCTGCGGGGTGGATGCACCAGGTCAGGCAGGGTGAAGGTGCCTGGTGGAGCAGTTTTGGGAATGCCAGAAGCTGCTCTATGAACCCATCATACTCCAAATCTGCTGGGTGGATGCACCAGGTCAGGCAGGGTGAAGGTGTCTGGTGGAGCAGTTTTGGGAATGCCAGAAGCTGCTCTATGAACCCATCATACTCCAAATCTGCTGGGTGGATGCACCAGGTCAGGCAGGGTGAAGGTGTCTGGTGGAGCAGTTTTGGGAATGCCAGAAGCTGCTCTATGAACCCATCATACTCCAAATCTGCTGGGTGGATGCACCAGGTCAGGCAGGGTGAAGGTGCCTGGTGGAGCAGTTTTGGGAATGCCAGGAGCTGGCTTTGTGAATCCATCATACTCCAATCTGCTGGGTGGATGCACCAGGTCAGGCAGGGTGAAGGTGTCTGGTGGAGCAGTTTTGGGAATGCCAGGAGCTGGCTTTGTGAATGCCTTGGGAAGCCTGGCCTGCAGGCTGTGGTGTTTTTCCATGGATTCCCAGTGTCCCTGCATGCAGCTGTGCCTGCTGCTCCCACAGCTGCTTGGGAAGATGAAATGAGACCCCATCTTTAAAGGCCATGGAAAAAAATGCAAGGCTTTTCCTGTGTGGGAAGCTGTGGGAATGCTGAGCCTGGAGCAGGGATGAGCACTGGCAGCCTGTCCCCACCCTGAGTCCATGGATTCCATGGTGGGGATCAGTCCCTGCAGCCGGGTCCCCCCACCCCAAGGGGCTGCCAGCAGCTTGGCCAGTTTGTCCATAGCCACTGGCACTGACAGAATTGATTCTGTGTGGTTTGAGAGCAGCAGGACAGGTTTCATCTCTGGTGGCTCTCCTGACACTTTGATACATGGCAGTGCTGGATACTCCAGGGCTGGATAGAGGGCTGGATAAAGTGAGGATGTAGAAGGAGTGTGGAGAGAAAAGCACTCTTTGATTTACTGGTGCTGGCTCCCAGCTCTCTGGCTGGATTGATCTGCTGCCTGCTGYATCTGGAACAACTTCTTCCCTCCTGGATACAAAATTTGGACTCTGAGAGGTGACTCTTCCACAGACACTCTGAGTCTCAACTAAGCTGGAAATTATATTCCAGCCATGTTTGTTGTGTTCTTGTTTCAAACAAGGAGCAGCATTACAAAAACCTGCTGGGGTTAGGAGGGTCAGTYGGTGTCCAGCCTCCTTTCAAAATGATGCTGTTTGCAGCCATGGAACAGTTCTGGTTTGTGCTGCCTTCATTCACAGCTGGGGCCAGGCTCTCTCTTCCCCAAAGCAGGCAGTGTACAGACAGACAAGGGCTTTAGAGGGAAGAGAAGATGGAGACTGGGAAGAAAACAGTCCCTTCTGGAATTAAATGTGAAATGGATAGGGCAGGGCTAGATGGGAAGAGAGCAGGGGCGGGTGACACTTGGCTCCTGAAGTCGAGTTTACAGCACACTTAAGCAGCCAACAGTAAAAATGAGAATGCCATCCAATAATGCTATTAAATACACAAGAACTGAGAACGGGGAAATTACCCAGCTGTAAGAGGCTCGTGATGAAGCCACTGCCTGGAATAATTAGCCCTCCCACCTGGTTAGACGCACGGTCATTGTCTTCCCTGCCCTCTCCAGCCCCTTCACTCCAAATAAAATTGCTCCCCATCCCCACTTCTGTTGGGGTCTGTCTCTCGTAGCCTGGGGGAGCCTGAGCCTGTCTTTATTTCCTTGCCTGCTCGCCGTGGCCCTGCTATACCCCAGAAGAGCTGGAGTGCTACTCCAGTTGTAATTGCCAGGATCAAAGCTGCCTGGGGTGCATTAGCACTGCTGCTGGAGGAGAGGCAGCGGGGAGAAAATAAACAGTTTGGGAAGCTCTGGGGACATTTGGCTGCGTYGCAGGCAGTGGGAAGGATTTTGCTGGTGTAAGCTGTGCACTCAGGCTAGGGTGGGGGCACTTGGCTTCTGCAAGTGATGCTTTAGCTGCAGACACATACAACAAATGCAGTTTTAAGGGCTTTTGTCTGTTTGTCTGGTGGAATTGTTTTGATGCTCACACACGTCTGATTTACAAGTGCAGCAAACCTAATCCGTTAATAGGTTTATATCGAGGAGTTGTCAGGGTGTATCTATAATGAACCAGGGGCTCGGGGAGGATGAGCCCAACAGCTGATCTGCAAGAGAAATCTTAAAGCATCTTCTCCTTGACATTGCTGTTCCTGAGGTCAGGCCGTCATTTATCTGGAGGTGGTGACAACTGAGCAATATCACAGTGGTAACACACGGGAAATTGAGACCTCTGAGTGTCTGGGCTGATTTCTGCCTGCGCTGCCTCTGTCTGCCTGAGGAAGATTTGCTGTTCACTCTYCCCCTGATCTCTGTGTCCCCCATTAAAAAGCAGAAATAAAGAAAAAAACCGAGTGGGGAAAAGTTCTTGTTTGCCACATACAAAGGAAGAGTGGGGAGTTAAGTAAAGCAGCCTCACTGGCTCCGTGGCAGAGGAAGCTCTGCCAGGGGAAGCTCTCCAGGGGAAGCTCTGGTGCTCTCCACACAAATCCACGTGCTCTGCCAGCCAGAGCACAGTTTAGGKTTTTGGGTAGGAGTGTGCCCAGTGTTTTACCTGGGGGAGCTGACTCTGTTGTTTTTGTGCAAAGGAACCATTTGTGTAGGCCTGGGCAAACACTTGTTTTCTCCAGAGTTCTGCAGGGAGCCTTGCTGGTTGCCACAGAGGAGCTGCTTGTAAAGAGCAAATGCTGTGGCAGTGTTCAGTTAACCTGTCCAACAGTCAGCTGGAGCTCTGTGTTCTTGGAGGACAGATACAGGAAATAGGGATACAGAACACTGTCAGCTTCAAGAGCCTCTGGACACACAGCCTCCCAACCTTCAGGGTTTGTGTGTGTGAGCACCCTGCAGTGCAGCTCCTCATCCCAATAAAAATCACATTCACACCATCTGTTGATCAATTTACACCCCTCCACCCCATCTTTTCTTCCCTTTCTCTCTTCCAAAGGATCTCTGGACCTGCAGTTCTGCTTTTCCAATCAGAATCTTCTCATTAAACTCACCAGGTCATGGTTTAAAGTTCCCCCCATGGACCAGATCTTGTCACTCTTGTCYCTTGCTCTGCAGGTTGTAAATCCCTGGAGGCCTTGCTGAAAGTACTGGTGGAACTTCAGGATGAGCTGCTTTATCAGTACCCAGGCACGAGGCATCTGRTCGATGGAAAGCAAGCAAAAACTGAGAGGTAAAAGCAAAAAGAGATAAGATCTTTGTGAATCCTTTGGTGTCCAGCAAACAGGACAATGCACAGCCTTCCTGAGCACCCTCACCCTGCTGCTGTCTCACTCTGCTGTGTCTGGGTGACACATGCTCTGTCACTGGAATTCCYTCTGCCTCGTGGGAAGTCTGTTTTGTGATATTTCTGATAATGGAGCAGGGGCTAAACCATGGGGCTTTTAACAAAAATACCAACGTGGTGTGTGAAGGGGCACCCTGACATCTGACACTGCTGTGGAGAGGGACAGGGTGTTTATCCTGTGTGTTTGCATTGCAGTGAGGATGAAATCCCCAGCAGTAGCGATGAGGARCAAGTGGAGAAGGCTCAGGAGAAGAGGAGGCGCCTCCCCAAACGRAAGCTGAAGTTTGAGGAGTACCCTGAGTTCATTGCCAAGCGCTACAAGGACTTCAGGACCTACAGGAACAGCRTCCTGCAGAAGTGGCACGACAAGACAAAGCTGGCAACTGGCAAAATGGGAAAGGCAAGGCTTGGTTTGTGTGTGCTGACATGGCTCGTGTGGGGCAGRGGACTGGGGAGCAAGTTCAGACTGAAAGAGTGGAAATTCAGGTGGGATACRTGGGATAAATTGTTCCCTGGGAGGGTGGGGAGAGGCTGGCACAGGGTGCCCAGAGAAGCTGTGGCTGCCTCTGGGTTCCTGCAGTCCAAGGCCGGGTTGGATGAGGTTTGGGGCAGCRTGGGACAGAAGAAGGTGCCCCTGTTTGTGGGAGTTTTTGTGTTCTCTCAACCAGCCACCCCCTCACAGCCAATCTCCATGAAAATGCCCCTGCTGTTGGTGCACGAGCTGTTTGTGGTTCCTACCAGAAGCAGAGCCCTCTAAGGCTCTCCTCCTCCATGAAGTGTGTGCTTTAATACAATGGGTAATCATTTCACCCAGAGATCCAGGGTCTCCTCACATCTCTGMGTCGGTATTAATCATTGAGAAGTTAATCTGAACCAGAACAGCAAAGGCATTTTATTAAACCAGGCGTCAACTTGCCTCAGGTTGGGAAGGGAGCGCGAGGGAGAAACAAATAAAAAATCCTCGCAGAAATCCCCGCAACGAGCCCCAAACCCCCTCCTCGTGGAACGCTGTCTGCTTATCCTCTGACATGGAAAGATAGAGGAAGGCTGGTGCCCGGAGGAGAGGCTGAGTGTGTTATCTGACACTGGTGGATGCTGTTGCAGGGTTTCGGTGCCTTTGAGCGCTCCGTGGTGGCGCAGATCGATCACGTGCTGATGGACAGGGAGCGATTGCTGCGGCGCACCCAGACCCGCCGCTCCCTCTACCCCGTGCTGGGTAAACCAGAGCAAGAGCCACCCCCAGCCCCACAGCCCGGCCCTGACAGCTCGGTAAGGTTGGCTTTCCAGGGGTTTTGTGGGGTTTGTTTCRCTGGTTCATCCTGTGAAATCCGCAGAGCGCGCTGTGCGAGACTTTAGCAAGTGGTGCTCTTGTTCGGGAAAGATTTAGGAAGGAGGAGGATGGAGYGTGGATTCTTGTAGTGTAATGGCTAAGGAAAAGTTTTAAATTCYAGTTTTGGAAAAACTGGATTTAAAAAAAATTTAAATTCCAGTTTTGTGGTGTTTGTGTTATCTCCTGTCCCAGTTCCTGACAGGGGAAAAACAAGATTTGGGCTGGGATTGTTCCCCTCCTGTGCTGCAGGAAGTGATGCTTACTAAATCTGATTTTTGAAGTAATGGCAGCAAAATTTGGTTTTAACTCTGCAGTTCAGAGTCTTTAACCCAGAAAGTCCCTTTTAAAATCATTGCATACAACCTGCAGAATATGTTAGTAGGAAGCCCGTTATTAATTTAGTATTTAAGAATGAATAAATACTCAATTCTGAGAGATCAGGTAGAATTACAGCACTTGCAAGATGTATTTTTGCCATTACATTAAAAATACCTGTAGTATTTTGCCAGAAAGACTTTGCACAGTCCTATTTATTTCCCAGTAAAGGTATCATAAATCTATTTTGTCATTGGCAGCGTTTCTGCCTTGCCTTTAAATGTATTCCTGGTCCTTAAAAGCTTGTTATGTTGGGAGCTTTTCCCCATTCCTTCATATCATCAAGTGTGTTTACAAGCTGCTGCACGTGATGTCTTTGGAATTAAGGATGGAAATAGGCACAAATGAGCTTTGAGTATTTCCTTGATGCTTCCAGGAAGTCCTCCCTCCCTCAGAGTCCAACAGGCACCTGAAGGACATCGATGAGGAGATCTTTGATGATGATGACTTTTATCACCAGGTAGGTGATGGTAAATGTGTGTTGGAATTATGGCTCCAGCTGGATTTTAATACTTACAGAGAAAATTCAGTTGTTTCTGTGCTCTGTGTTCCTCTTTACCCGTAAAACCCAGTTACCTGTTTTAACATCCAAAATCTCTGCAAGTACCTCAGGGGATTCTGCTCTGTTTTTGTTGTAGGGCTGTGTTAGCCTAAACTTGCACTGTGGGTGAGCTGGGCCTGTCCCTGGGGAATGTGGCTACACAAGAGAAAAACTGTGAATTCTCTGAAGGTGACTGTTCTCTGTGGGCAGAGCCCCCTTAGGAAATCCTCAAAAGCACTGAAATTCCTCTTGTCTCAGCTTCAGCCATCTCATTTACCTGCTGAATGGGAAAGGGCTGCTCTGGCACTTCTCTTGGAACTGGGCCAGCTTGGATCCAGGCCAGTTATTCCTTTTATTTGCAAAAATTCTTAGAAGCAAGAAATCTGCACCAGTGCAGGGAAACACAGTGTTTGTAGTTTATTTAATAARGACAGTGCCAGCCCAATGAAAAACTGGAATTGTCACATATTGAGGAATGTGTCACTGTGAGGACTACACAAATATCATTATATCACTAGAGAGACAATGTTTTGATCTGAAGAGTTATTAGAGTGGCCAGGAAAGTGCTGAGGCAGTGGAAAAGAGATGCTGCCATGTGAGGGTGCCAGGCTCCAAATGGTGATGGGAGAGAGCCTTTCTCGTTGGCATCAGGGATTGAAAGGGCCAAATCTGTTGGGATAATGCTGAGGTGGAATTTGGGGTGCAAGTGGACCCTGAGAAAGAACACAGAGCAGATGAACCTGATATAACAAACTCATGGAGTGGAGAAATAGCTGAGATTGACAGTCTGTRCACCTGGGCAGAGAAGGTGCTTCTTGGCCATGAAATGTTAAATTTTTACCAAAGAAAATAGCAATAGATGAATGTCCCCATCTTTCCCTCTAATAACTGTAACTGTGCTAAATCGTGATTGCAGAAATATGAGCAGGCCCAGCTTAGCTTCTCCCCTCACTGGTTAATTGGGGTGCTGGGGTTAATCTAAATTAAAACTTAAACTAATAGAGGTCATTKAGGGAAGAGAATCACCTGAGTAAAACAAATGGGTCTGCCAGGCACAACTGTATCTTGGCCATTTCCCAAGAGGGAAGTGGCAGCAAATTGGAGTCATCTGAGGCCTGGGCAGAGGTGAAGGATGGGTGGCAGGGGTTTGGCGTGCAGCCCCTCCYGGGGAACAGTTCCAGATTGCATTCCCTGCTGCTCCAGCTGTGGAGCAGCCCCAACCAGCAACATCTGGCAGCACAGCCAGGCATGGGTGCCACTTTGGGACCCCCATGGGCTGGAAATATGGTGTTTAGCCTGGTGCAGGCTTTAATCACTTCCCAGTCCTTGGCAGCGGCTCCGACAGCTTCACACAGCCTCGTACATCACACACAGACATCTGCCRAGCYGCCGGGCAGCTGCACATCCATTCTSCTTCTTGCTGGGGCTGTTTTKATRTCCCTGCCTCCTTCTATCCCTCCCTCACTCCATTCCACCCTTCTCCTCTCCTCCATCCCCAAAATGCTTCCTGGGAGAGAGGATCTCTGGTGTTTGGGGGGCTGTCTGTGCCACTCTGCCGCCGTGGTTGATGTCCCATGCTCAGTGGGATTTGGCAGAGATTGGAGCTGAAGCAGGGCTGAGGCTGAGGAAAACAGCTCTGTGTTCTTCTGTGTCACCTCCCAATTAAATTGGATTCATAAAGTGCTTTCCTTTATTTGTCAGGGCGCTAAGCTGGAGCTGGGATTGCATTCAGAGCRGGGAGAGCGCGGCACAATGGAGCTGCCAGGGCCCTGAATGGCTGTGCTTTGCCTGGGTCAGAGCTGAGCAGGGCTTTTGTGTGCGTGGGGGATTGCATGTGGGCATGGGAATGARCTGCAGGAGGGGAGCTGCTGCTCCAGGAGTGCTCACTCTGAGCTGAGGGTGCTCAAAAACCCCTGCTCCCCATGCCTAACACAGCCTGCAGCGTGCATTTCAACACCTGCCTCTTCCTTCCTGCTTTCCAGACTTTCTTTGGGATCATTTTCATTGTAATAAATAGCATTTTAGAGTTATTAATTTATTTTGATTACTGCTTAAAAGGTAAACATTCAGATAAAGAACAGCGTTGGAAAGCAGCTTCCTCTATGTGTCAGTGTGAAATTAGGCAAGTAAAAATGAACAAGATTTGATGAATGTGCACRAGTTAATGATAACAGAATAAGTAGCTATAGTGTTTTATTATAGATTATAATAAAAAGCTCTTTAATTAATCTGTTTGCCTTGTGGAAAAACAATTTTCTTGCCCAGGTCTTAATATTCAGTAGAATTCAGCAGGTGGGTCTGGTGGAATTTTGTGATGATTCAGGACTTAACTCTCTTCTGCCTGCTCATCCCACTTTGCCTTTTCTCCTATTCTTCACTTGTTTTATAAGCAGTTACAGTTTTTATTGTGATGGCCCATACTGGATGGTGATGGAAAGCTGAGCTGAAAAATGCAGTGAAATATTTTTATTTGGGTGGGAATAGTTAAACTGTTTCAGAAAGATCCTCGTCACTGGCAGCAGTGTGAAGCTAGAGCCCAGTTCCTTTTCTTTTAAATTCTCCTTCRTACATGGTTTTTAGAGAAGAAAAAAGGCTTTTTATTTTTAGAAGTCATATTTACGTAGAATTCATTACTGTTGGTATTGCAGCATTAAAACTTAAAATTCCAGCCTGCTACCAGGGAGCTGCTGGTCTGACATGCTACAGTGGAGATTTTATTGTTGGGTTGAAATACTCCTCTGGTAAAGGAAAGAGTGGAAATTGGTTTATTTCCAACAGGAATTAGGTTAGTGTTCATATGCTAAGTGTTCCACTGGTAGCAGCTCTTCCCAGAACAAATGTTCATCATTGCTGGCAGCAGGTATGCCTAAGGAGAATTGGGAATATCCATAATCCCTTTTTTTCCTCTGCTTTCCTYCCCTGGATTTGGTTGTGTTGTGTGTCACTGCATTTTGTGACAGCCCACAAAATGCCACCAGTCCTGTCCATGGGCACCAGAGAGGAGCCAGAGTCAGGGGGAGCAGTAATGCCCCAAACAAGGAATTACTAATCCAGAGAACTATTAAAAGTCGATAATGGTGAAGAATAGAGAGAAGCCTGGCTTTGTGACAGGCTGGTTTACCTTAATTAAACCGGTGAGTGATTAATWTGGACAGCTGATCTTGTGGCTTTAATTAGATGCATTTAGAGTTTTGTGTGAATAAGAGATGTCTCGAACCATCCCACAGGTTAATGGCAATACAATACTCTTATCACAGGCATGTATCTTTCAAATGGCTGGCTAGATGGTTAATAACACATTTTAAAGCTTGATTTGGAACTTCTCTTAATGGGTTATTAGAAAATAGGCAAATCTGTGCATCTTACACAAACCTGCATCTGAATAAAATGRGCTCTATAAAGACACTGTCCAGTGRTTTCAGCTTGCATTTTAGRCTCTTAYACATAGATTGCAGAAAATTAAGTTTTTAAAAAGCTTTTGGAGGGGGTTTAAAATAATATTTGTGTTGCAAACTTATTTTTTTCTGGTGTTGGTAGAAATCCGAATGTTGTTACGTGGCTACCGAGTGGGAGCTTGAGAGGGCATTTATAGATGRGCTTCTTTTTTTAATTTGATTTGCTCTGTAAGGTCTAAGACAAGTGAGCCTTTTGTCAYGAGGCTGATTTCAGCTCTCCTTAGCCCTTTGTCTCAACTGGAAATTCTTAGGGGTCTGCAAATCAGAAAGGTCAGCGAGTGTAGGATTAGAAACACGATAGATAGTGCATGAAAATGAGACCTAACCTCTRCAATGAAAATTGACCTCTAAAATGAGAAATGAGGCTGTGTTACCCTTGAGCAGCACCCTGATGGCATTTCCAAATCCCTCTCATTCTCTACAATGGACTTTGTGTGCATCTCTGCAGTGGCATCGAGGGCACTCCTTTAGGGGAATTTTTCAGTCAGTGTCGCTGCTGGCCAAACAGCGACAGAAAAGAATAGATATAAAACACACAAAAAGTGGGTGAAAAAAACAGAAAGAAAGAAGGACTTTATTGTGGGACAAGCCTCTTTTATCCACTTTAGTAACTAGAGTATATATTTGTGTTAAACATACATTAGTTAAGAGACAACTGTTTAATTAGTAATCAAAACATAATTAGTAAGTTTGCAAAAGCTACAATATTAGTAATACTTATAATTTTTAACCACCTACATTATCAATTCTACATTCTAATCTACTTTTCTCAAAAATACAACATTCCTCCTCCATATAAACAATTAACATCCCTTTCTTTTCCCAAACCTCAATCATACACAATARTTAAATAAATTTCAAAATCAAAACTTATAAAASCCTTTTCCCCCACAAGTCAGCACTGTGCTGATTCCAGCAGGGATCAGCAAAGGTTTTGGGTTCAGCAGCAGGAATTCAGGAGCTCTCCTGGCAAACATCACCAATTCTTCCCAAAGAAAATCCAGCTGGTGTTGGCAGCTTCCCTGTGCTACCATAGTTTGTCCTCCTGGTCCCAGTTTTTGGGAGCTGAGCCGTGGGATGTGGCTGTGCTTCCTTGCAGTTGTGTTTACTGCCATGGGAGACTGAGCTGAGGTTCTGCAAGTTCAGGGAAGAGGTGAAGGAGGGAAAGCAAAACAGGATCTGTTTCCAATCAAAGCCTTTTGATGCTGGAATTGCCTAACTCTGTCTTCACACATCAGGGCTTAATGCTGATGGTGATTTACTTACACTTCCTAGTTAATAATTAGACATTGGGAGACACCATATATCACTCCTAATGGAATATATGGGGTCTGATGAGAGTTTTCTGTTTTGACTAATAAATTTTAAGCAGAATCGCCAGGCTTAATGAAATATTACCGTTTGGGAAGTGGTTTAAGTCTTGTGCTGGGAAAACAGTGTTGCTTTATTCAGTAAATGAWTTTATCATTCACTCTATCCTGAGCCCTGGCTGGCTCTGGAGCACGGGCTGGATGCAAGACTCTGAACCAGAAAGCAGAAAACTAATCAAATCCTTAAAGACCAAAGGCAGCCAGGCAGGCCTGGGCTGACTTTTTCAGTGCTAGCCTCTGGCTACATCCACTTTTATTTTAGTAACCATTGTTAGCATGATTTATAACCTCAGCTCGGAGACATTCGCTATTTAGATGTAACAAGATGCTTCACAGCTTTTATTTCTGTTTCCTAATTTCCCTCTTGCTCCTGCTCTTTTTTTTACTTCTCCCTCATCTCTGCCTCCCTCTGCTCTCCCAGTGCAGTGTCCCAGTCCCTCTCTGCTGCTCCAAGCCTCCCTCCCACCTTGCTTTTGACAGAATATTGACTGGAAACCGAGATCCCATTTCTGCTTAGCCTTAAGGGCAGCTGTTTACAGAGTGGCAGTGTTACACAGGTTTACTGTGTCGTATGTCTGTGTAACACTGGATTTGGATCTTGTATTTAGCTGCCAGAAGTGACTGTGATGAAGTGGCAGAGATAAACTGATAGATTGTGTGCCAGAAAGATGTTGGGAATCAATCAGATAAACAGGGCAGAGTAGTAGCTTGCTGTTTTCTAGTGATAATAAACCAGTGGCCTGGCTCCTGGAATTTTTAAATGTAATTGCTGCAGTAATAATCTCCAAAAATAAGCAAGTAGGAAAAAAAAAAAAAGTAGTGGCAGGTTTTTAATTATGTTTGAATCACTCTTTTTTCTGGTAATGTGATGTATGCCTTGAAGGAGAGGGAAGCACAGGGTGGAGGGAAAGCATCCTGCATCCTTTTCTTCCCTGGYATCTCTGTGGAATCGCCTGGATTTGGGTGCTCCTGAACTGAGGCAGTGGCTTCCCTGGCTGGTGAAATGCCATCCATAAAGCAGTTTGTGCCCCTTGGTTTTGGAGGGTTGTTTTCTGTTCTTTGTGCTGCTCTCTTGGCCAATACCCAAAGCACAGCACGCCCGATTTACAGTGAGTGCTGATAAACACACAGCGCCAGTCAAGGCTCCAGAAAGGCTGTTCACAACATTCTCTGGCTGCAGGAAGCAAAGAGGACAAACCCCAGCCCTCAGGACACAAAAATAAATAGAAAAGGCTTGCCTGAGCATTCCTGCTGTAGCTATAAAAGGGTTTTGCTGTGCTGTTCTCTGAGTGAACATCACTGCCCGACTTTTGTTTGGGAAGTGGTTCAGTTCCTCTGGGAGTGTGGGGGGAGCCCTGTGGGGCTGAGCTTTCCCTGCACATYTGTCCCTGGTGCACCTCTTGCCCATGGGAGCAGGGTACACTGAACCAGAACACTGAACAACTGTGCTTACTGTAAATGGGATTTTTGTCTTTCCTGCAGCTTCTGCGAGAGCTGATCGAGCGGAAAACCACATCCCTGGACCCCAATGACCAGGTGGCCATGGGCAGGTGAGTGGGGAGTGCCTGGAGCATCACTGCCTGTACTGAGTTAATGTGGAAAAAAGCATCTGGATATTAGAAATTGCTTAAGAAATTAAGAAACACGATGACATCAGTCAGGAAGCTCATCCTCAAATATATTGCTGAGTTATGGATCACCCAGTCTGACTTCTGAGCTGTTTGTGTGTGATCCTCTGGAGATCTGGAAAGGCTTGGTGCAGGTATTTCTGTGTCTCAGTGGCTCCTGCAGCACTGAGACAATCCTCAGAGGCTCAGAAATAGCTGCCCACTGCTGAAACTTGGCCTTTGCTCTTTATTAACTCTGATTTGTTACTGTTTCAGAAGAACAAAGTTCTGATTCTATTCAAAGCAATTCCTGTGTGTATCCCTCCTGCAAGAAAAGATTCTGTGCCCTGAAAACAATATCAGGGAATGTTCCCTGCATGCAGAAGTAAACTGTAATTCCATGCAGGGAAGCTTTTATTTCCCTGTTTAATTCTAGAGTTARAAAATAAAGAATCTTCCAAATGCCACCTCATGAGCAGTGCATGTTGAAATAACCACGGGCTCTAATTTAGAAAAGTGTAAAAGCAAAGAAAAGCTGGAAAAGCTGGAGTTGGGCTCCTCCCTCAAAACAATTTTGTGGGGGATGTCTGTAGGGAGGGGAAGAAAATGCATCAGGAAATTTTGTGATGGTGGAACAACTTTTCTGCTTGTAAAATATCACCCAAATTTTAATGCATGACAAATTTATTTTGTATACGTCTGGAATGTTATGGAAAGCTATTCACTATAATTTAACATGATATAGACAAAATTACATTTAAGTGGTGATTGCATTGTACATTTATCTGACTTTACAATAAAATAGATTACAGTAATTAAGATTATATTAAGATTGCAGTAATTGGATTTTGTTAGATTTTTTTCCCTGATGTCGAGTTTTCCTTGTATAAATCAGGTGAGATGACGCTTGTTTTAGTTTGAAAAAAAATATTTATAACCAGGAGAAGTTTTCCCCTGCTGGAAACTTCTTTGACTTGAGGAAGTTCTGGTTGAGATGTAGAGCTTTGAATACAGTTGGGGATCAGAGAGTCTTTCTGGGAGTGTTTAATGGCTCTGAAATTGTGTTGTTGTTTTTGTGCATCCCCAGGCAGTGGTTGGCCATCCAGAAGTTACGGAGCAAAATAAAGAAGAAAGTTGACAGAAAAGCCAGCAAAGGAAGGAGAATCCGGTGGGTGRCAACTTCTGCAAATCACACACAAGTTCTGATTTTGCCAAGGGAAATGTCTGACAGCTCAGGGTGTATTTTACCCCAGTTGGCTCTGATTCATGAGTTTTGGGGTGAGATTTCTTGCTCTGGAGCCCTGATACTCCTGGAGCCTGGAACGAGGGCTTGGTGGATGCAGCCTGTGAGCACTGCCCCAGTCAGCCTTGGCAGGAGGGTTTATTGCTCTCAGGAAACACCAGAGAGGTGCTCAAATGTCCCTGAGCCATTTGGGGCTGTAATTTCCAGTGAGAGCCAATAAACCCCTCTTGTGCAATTTGTATTTCACTGCCTGAGACTYGGACAGCAGCTCCAAGGGAAGTTGTGCAGAAATACCTCCAGTAAATCTCTATTTCCTACTGAATGCCAGTTAAAATTTGGTGTCAAATCCCTCTTCACATCTCAGCTTCCTTTAGCTACGAGGCATTTCCCTCCTAGAGCACTCATTTGGGTTGAACTTGGTGCAGAAATCTTCCACGTGGCAAAGGAAGCAGCCTGGAGAGCAGGAGGTGTTTCCCCCTTTGCAGAGCAGGTCTCTGAGTCTCCCTGAGTTTAGCATGATTTGTAGCAGAGGAGGGAGGATGCTGAAAAGCTGCTCTGCTTCCTGAAAAATCCAGCACATTAACCATCCTTTGTGAGTAAACTATAAATCCTGAGTTGAGATGGCATCTGATAGAAAGTCAGTGGAGTCAGTCTGGGTCAGGCCTGGCATAGCAATTTTTAAGATAGATGTCATAAGATAATTTATTGAAAGAGGGAAGAGCTACTTTGTTGGCCTGAAAAGCCTATAATTATTGACTATCAATATTCTTTTCTGTCAGCATCACACATAATTGGATATATTCATGATTCAGTCAAAACTCCTGACAACATCACACAACTGAGGCAGCCTCGTAAACCTCCAGGAATAATGGGGAAGTCTCTCATGGTGTGCAATCTGTGCCTTCAGCATTCCTGGGCCAGCAGCTCCCCCTCAGTCAATTGCCTTTCACATCTCAGGTGCCTCTTTCTGCTTCTTTAAATAAAAAGTTGGGCTGACCCTGCAGGGAGAATATCAATAAAAGAAGAAAAGTCTCTTTGTCTGTGGTTGGGATGAACAGGCAGTTCAGCTTCTGCATTTTTCAGAACGGGCCAGTAGAGCCCAAATGGGTGTTTTTAAATAGTTGGTGCTTCCACTGAGAGACTTGGTGCCACCCCAGGCAGATCCCTGACTCTCTGTTCTTCTTTCTCCTTCTCTAAAATTGGGACAGCAGTGCTTAAATTTGCTTTCATGAGGGGCTTTGAGATCCTGCAGAGCCAAGTATTTAATACYAAGTTTTGTCTSCTGAATTCTTCCTTTTTAGCAGAGYTTCAGTKTTACAGCCTGTTGGGATGCAATGTGCTGRTTTATTGTGAGAATCTTCAGGTGCTTTCAGAAGAAGTCAGTCTTCCACTGGAGGGAAATTTGGGCATTGAGAGGGGCAATAAGC